ACTTGTTCGTCACTCGGTTGTTATTTTTGAAATGAAGTCTGTGGGACTATTTTGACAATATATTATATATATGTATATTCTAAAACCCTACAATACATGTCATTATTAGTTGAAATAATAGTGAAACTCAGTAGTACAAACGAAATTATATTAAAGGCCTCACAGGGGCAAATCGCTTTTCACAGTAAGAGAAGTATCAAGTTTCGTTGATGTGAGAGTGATTTTAAAAAGGATTTAATTGAGAAAAAACATCCTGGTCTGAAAAATTCGGGCATACGCCGAGCAAACGGATATCTGCAGCACAGCAGTTTTTGTCCGACAGTAATTCTCGATTAGTAAGAGTGACTTCGGAACCAAACAATATGAAACAGTCTATCCTGAAAGGTCAAAGCAGTATGTCATGCATGAGGTAGTTTTATTTTATTTTCCAGACGTCGCCTTATTCCGTTCATTCCAAATCGATACTAAGCTGTATAATAGAAGAACGCTCTCTCTCTCTCTCTGAACAAATATGACAGCTGTCATTTTCCACTGGACACAGTAGTGAGCTACTGATCCTCATAGCGTGAATAACAACTGTTCAGGTTGCGAGACCCGGCGATCTAGGTCCTTGAAGTCGGAGTAGCACTCTTCACAAAGCCCTCAAGAGGCGCAAAAATTTAAGCTTTCTACTATGGGACAAAAAGAGATTACGATCTCGAAATAAAAACCGCTGACCTCAGGTGCTTCCAGCAGGTCACTTGACACACAAAACCGTATGATGAAGAGCTAATTCGAGGTGACTGATTCGGCAAAAGTCTGCCTGCTCTTAGATTTGCCCCAAAAGGATGCACTGACACACTTTTTATCACAAGTAGCTTGCATTAAGTACGCAAAGTGCAAAACTCATTGCAGATACTCAATGAATTATGTAAGTAGGCTCTAAATGGTATCTGATCCATAGGTCAATTTCCTAATTAAATTGGATGTGATTCACATTTATTGTGCAATTTAAAACAATAACTATTAGTTTGAAGTTGAGTATGATCCAAAAGTGAACACCGGATTGTGTTCGAGGTTATGTAAAATGGTAATGTTATGCCGGGGGACATATATGTTTGAAATAGGAGTTTCACATTGAATAGAGACATTTTCTAACTACATTTTCATCAATTACAAATTTCATTATCCATTTTCCCCGAATTTATCAGCAATGCGGCAAAAGTTTTTTTTCTTTGTGTGATGCGAGGAACTCATGATCCGCGGGATGTTCAATCAATGGCATCCGATTTTTTTAATCTTGTCATACGTGTTTGGCAAAACCCAATTCCTTCACTCCACTGAGCGTTGTCTAGGAGAGAGATCGCAGTCATTGTTCAAGCATAATGATTAACATCAAGTAGTAAAAACCGGATTCTACTACGAGATTCAACGTTTGTTCGAATCACCGCACGGTTCATCTGAATTGTTTTTCTTTTGTGTTTGATTCTTCATGCAGATTTAACACCAACTTGTTGAGCTGTGGTTCGTTTTGGCTCCGTTGAAAGACGATTAGTTCGGTGTACATTGTTTTCCCACTCTGATTATCTCGGGATTTATGCAGACTCACAGACATTTTCCTCTAAAACACCACGACAGCAAAAGTCGATCAACTTTTTTCGTTTCTTTCTTCCTATCTGAAAAACATATAGAATCATTTGATCACTCAAATTCACAAATGAACTGTTTAGTTTCGATTGTATCGGACTTCCACGAACCAAGCATTGTTGGTTAGCTCGCCCGACTGTACTCAAAATAAGCACGCGTTCTTGCCCACATACGTACCAAAGTATTGCTCATTAGTAATGTAACATTAGCTAGCTGTGGTACGCAAAGCGGAGGACTGTAAATTTATCTCATTCACTAATCGCTCTTCAACTCAGTTGTCAGTTACAGACGTAGACGGGGAGAATAAACCGTCACATGATTAACTGAATGGTTTCTGGTGTGTATATATACACACTTACATATGTCCCGCGTCAAAAATATTGCACTCCTCAAGAGTTTTGGATTAAATCCACCCCCACATTGACGAACATCACCATTTTGATGAATCTATTCGGCAAGCAAATGGTAAACCGAAATACGAAATTTCACATTATTATACTCAGTTTGATCACCATCATGTACAAAAACGGAATTTTTAACGCCTGAAATTATTACTTTACACATCGAAGCCAGTTTATCACCCAGTATAAAATGTCAAACCATATCCATGTGGTTTTTATTCCACTTTCCAATCAACAGCACCTGTAATTCGTGTTTTCTAATGTAACCTCCGTTGTTTTGATGCATCTTTCGGATAAGAAAGGTCTAGATGTTTTCTTTTGGCTTTCAACCTGAGCTACACGCAGGTCACGTTATTGTTTTGAAACCACAAAATAACAACCCGCATTTAGTTAGTTGCGAGTTATGAACTGTGGCGTTATCGTGTTGGAAAACGGCTTCAGGCTGATCATTCGATACTGTTGCTAGTGCAAGGTGCTTCTCCAATGTACGAATATATGCATCGGAATCTTGTAGTATAGCGAGTTCTGTCGGGTCGGTACCTGTTAAGGCATACCGTATCATCGCTGAGTTTCGATAGCTAAACTGCATGATGAAGTACCGCTCTTCCCACATTTGATGTGTGATATATATGGTATGATACAAGTATTAGTTCCACTCACCGGTTTCATCAAATTAAATTTCTTTTCGTCGCTAAATTAGACAATATTCCATTCGTTTTCTCAAGCTACATACATTTCAGTCCACAATAAACGCTTTTTCTGTTCGTACAGTTGTAAGAACTATGTGCCTTACTAGTTCCTAGAATTTCGTCCGAGGGAGGGTCGTTGTACACTTCGCACCGAAATTTAGATGTATCCACTTCAACTATCTTTCTAAAGTGTGATCAGGGTTCGTTTCCCGGTCTGGTTACCCTATGTGTGCTAACGGTGATCTCACAAAGGGCATCATTTATGTATTTCTCGTCATCAGTATGCCTCGTTATCGGGTTCTCAAATAACCTAAAGAGAACAAGAATATTCAAGGTTCTCGACAAGCGAAGTCTTGGTAGATGCACGCATTCTAGAGACGTTTTGTTTTGATTCACTATGTCAAGGAGAAAATTTCCCGTTTGTATATAATAGTTTAGCATCGTTTTCTGATAGACGAACTAGACACTTTCCCGCCTATTTTATATGAATATAAATAGTGGATAAGGGAAATGCATGCGGGAAACTTAATACTACTTTCATTCAATGCGAAGCGTTGGAGAATCCGGTTTCACTCGTCGGCCGAACAAAAGACCGCTGCAGTCTGCACCTGAACCTTTTCTAGTACTCACTAGTGAAAATCAAAAAGTATACCCCACTGTGACAGAAAACTCCGAGAGAGTGTACAAGCCCGATTGTCACTGTACACGCATTCAAACACACACACACACACACCAGGTGACACGATCAACGATTTATTTAATGAAGAGCTGGCAAAATTTCGCTCGCGCTTCATCAATCACAGACCAGTCCAGATGCGATACTCCAAAGAACCGCAACTATGTTCGGACATAGGGAGAAAGAGAAGGAGAACAATTGAAGCAGACAAGATGGAACAGAATGCTTTGAACACACTTTTAACCGTAAATCCCAACCCTCCGAGGGCGTTGTATGTGGAATTGTTTGTTCGGTGTCTGTGTGCGTATAGTGAACGAAGAACGGGACACATCGGCTAGGTATTCATTCCAAAGGAGCACGTACGGAGTGCTCCACGCACGTCGTTGCATAGGATGATCGGAGACCAGAAAAGCGTTGTCAATTCGTTTGTCTCGATAACCCAAATCCTCAATGTGTCCCCGATGTAGTGAGACAATGTGCCTGTCTTCCTCTGGTTGAATAATGAACTTCAATCATACTGGTATGTGGGAGTAAAGCGTGATTAAAGGCAGAAACAGTTAAACAGGAATGATAGGAACCTAACGCGGGTGTAGTAGGTTCCCTTTGTGTGAGCTGGGAAGAACCTGAAACCAAACAGAGGTTGAAATAAATTTATACATAGTTCGGATTGAAAGAATGTTTTCTTCGAATCGATACTCAAATGAGGGCAGTTTTGTTTCTTACCTTGTCAAAGAATAATCGAAATTGACAAAAAACACTCAGTGGTCAGTGGTGGTAAGAAGTAGCATTTGATGCAGCTCTAACTCACGTTCCTCGGCAAATTGCTGACGGAAAAATATGCGTCTCAGTCCATTGTATTACGAATAGCTGAAAAGTATTCTCATAGTATTTGACCGCTGGTGCATGAAATTGAACGCACAATGCTTAGCAGAAACATCGATGATATAAAGCTGGTCGTGAGACAATAAAATCAAATAATCACTTTATGTAACTCAATGAGTTGATTCGTGGAAGACAAAAATAAGTCTCCCGCGTTGTGTTATGCAAGGTAACAGCTTTGGGGTCACAAGGTCACAAGATAATAAGTTGAATACATTTTCCAGCAACCTCAGCTATCAGTAGACCCGTGAAAGTATTCATCAATCTAACCAAGTCTAACCACTTTACGGAACCAGGAGCAGTCGGCTATCCTCCTCAGTGTTACCGACCGCCGGCTGCTGTGCACCGCTTCACACTTGACCTACCATTTTCAGTGTCTGTGCGTGGGTCCACGTCTCTTCTCACGCCTTTAGACTAATTTAAATCAGTAATAATGCCAAGGTACTGATGATTGTCTAATATATTAGTGCCCACAGGTTTAAATCTATTCTCTCCAACCCTGTTTATGCCGTTTTTTAAACACACTAAAGTGAGACAAACTATGATTCAACCGGCAAACCTGTATTTTCATTCATTAAGCACCAAAGGAAATGTCACTGAATCGTTCAGAATATGTGTGTAATATCTATGTTTCCCAAGTGAGTTACATGCACTCCATATTTTCATTCATTTCCTGAATCTTATCTCATTTGAGGAAATTAGCTTGTCTTATCCACGACTTATGTCAGTTGTTTGTTCTTTTTCATTTTTCTTGAAATCGTTCAGATTCGACGAAGAAGTCCGGCAGAAATATACGGTTTGCGCGAAGGGGACCACGTCTTGGCGATTAACGGGTTTGACGCACTCGACATGTCCCATTCCAGAGCCGTCCAGATTATCGATTCGGCAGCCTACACGCTGGAACTAATCGTCGGCAGGTAATGCTTTTTACTGACAGAGTTCTATCTTTTCGACATTGTGATTCATAAGTAAGCTTGGTATTGCTACTTGATTTTGTGTACGCTGGGTTGGTGGATATCACTGCTTAAACTTCTATAGCCGAAAAATCCAACGTTCTCAAGAAGAGATCCCAACTTTTAGCAGGAACGTTTGAAGCACTG